CTTTCTCACCTTCGCCCTTGGGTTGGTAGATCGGATTTTCAAAGTCATAAGCGGAAATAACTAAATTGTTATCAATGAGATCCAGAGTGGATGGGAATATGCAATGTAGTGTGTTGGTGTGTGTAAGAACACATAGCTATTTGAAAGTGCAATAAAGTAAAAGAAAGACATAAAGCACAAAATTTGAATGCAAAACGTTCAATGTTTCCATTAAATGAAAATATGACATATGAAATGACAACCCTTAACAAATGGACCATTGTGCCCCGGGTAAGACAAAAAGTTTAAAGTCATTGTTTTAAAAGAAATTACATAACCAAACTTCTTAAAGAAATAAGATAGAAATAATTATTACTCTTGACTAAAGGAGACAGAGATGATGTCTTCTGCTTTCCAATTGTTGAGTCTGTTTCCCCTGGTAGGAAAGATCCAGTTGTCGAAGTCACTATCATTGTCAGCATCCTCTATAGCATTAATTTCGTTATTGCTGATACTGAATAATGGTCTTCCAGCTCGAGCACGACGAACATCCCTCTGACCCTCTGCAGTAAATCCCAAACCAAACTTATTAGATTTGTAGGGGATATTCGGAAGCTGACTCCAAATTGTGCAACCACCTTCTTCTATAGTAGCTTTGGCATCTTTCAAGGAAGCCATTTTATGCAGAACCCTGGTAGTCTTTGGAATGGCAAAAACATCTTCAACAACAGCAGGGGAAATCACTTCAAAAGCTTGGCAGGGAGTCTCGATGAATTCTCCGTCCATCTCCATGTATCGAAATGAATTCAGATGGCTGACCATGTACTCCTCTTCTCTGTGGACAGTAACAATCTTCTCTTTCACAGGATACTTTAATTTCTGGTGTAATATGGAGGTAACAGTGTCTGCCCTATAGATCTAGAGGCGTCCTAGTAGACAAGAATAAGCTGGTCGGATGTCTATTACATATAAGGTAGACTCAAAGATTTGTAAACCCACTTTGATCGGGAGGTCCACTTCTCCATGTACCATTCTTTTTTATCCGTCAAAGGCTCGAACTAGGATGTTGTTGGGTTTCAGCACAACCCCTTCACAATCCAGTCTATCGAGAGCGCCCTTTGGCATAACATTCAGAGAAGAGCCAGTATCAACTAACACATGAGCCAATGTAGTGCCCTTGCATTCAATGGAGACATACAGGCCCTATTATGATTTCCCCTCCAGAGTCAGGTCAGTATCAGAGAAACCTAATCTATTATCAGTTGTTAAGCTAGCCACTTAACTTCCAAATTGATCAGACGAAATATCTTGTGGCACATGAGCATTTTTCAAGAATTTCATTAAAGGGTGCGCATGGGCTTCAGAACACAGTAGTAAAGATAGCATGGAGATTTTGGACGGGGTCTGCCCCAATTGTTCAACAATTTTATAGTCGCTCTTGCGGATTATTTTCGAAACCTCTTCCAACTCTTGTCCAGAGGTGTCCTTGACTGTAGTTTCTTTTGGTGCCTCCATCTGGGCAGGCTCCATTGTAATGTCCCGATATTTAATTATTTATTTAATTAAATATTTTTAAATATTTTATACTAATTCAAATTTTTATTGTCGAAGTCGGAATTATTTTATTTAGTGGCATGATAAATAATCGGATTTGTTTTGGTGGAATTAAGTTGAGATATTATTTTTATTAATAAGCTTAGGATTGATGTTGGGCTTAATTTGTGGTGTCGTGGAGTAACAAAGGGGGTGTATTTCTTAGGCCCGTTTAAGTTACTAAAGGATTAAATAAATATGAGTATTTTATTAGAAATAGAATTAGAGGAGAAAGAGAGTATAGAGATATCAGAAAAAGAAAAGAGGAAATAGAGTTTAGAGTGAAGAAGAAGAACAAGGAAGTTGCTGCTAGTGTCAAATTCTCCAGAAATTCGGTTGAAGTTTCTTAGAGCTGCACTCAATCCAAAGTAAGAGTGGGGTTCTTACTAAATAAATGGGGGTATGATGAATTTTATGTGGGTTTTAGGGTATTATTTTCACTATTATGTTGTGTAGAAATTAGTTGCATTGTTGCTGAAAATTGATAATAGATTTAGTTCTGTTAAAATTGTTGATGAATTTGTTAATAGTGTGATTATGAGAAATTATATGGAACTGGATTATTGCTGGTACTAAAAAAAAATTAAGTTGATATTGTAGAACAAAAACAACACAGTAGCTAAGCACATGAGAAACAAGATGCAATTATTTTTATTTTGGAAATACAATAGAGATCTAACTTTGAAAAGAAATAGCGCTCAGATTATAAAATAAATGAAATAGGAAGGAGTAAGAGATAGTGCCGCTAGGCACTTTGCTGTGTGAAATGCTGACGTACGGAAAGCTCAAGGAGAGGGACGGCATGCTTCATTTGTGGGGATCTCCCTTATCTTGTGCCACATATTTTTCTCTATGCATTAGGTAGGTAGCGCATCACTTATGGTGCAGTATGATATCCCTTAACAATTCCATTGTATAGTATATATATAAGTACCACCTTGTAGTTTAACAGTAGTAGTATTTTGATGAATATAATAGATAGTATCACTTGTATTTTTATGTAGTAGCATTACTTTGATTATTTCCATCCTCTTCTTTCCATGTGTAGCAATGTGGGGGCATTAGTTGTTATTTCTTTGAAACATGTAAAATAATCTCTATTATATTAAGTAGTAACAAGTGCATGTTAGTACATCTTAGAATGAATTAAAATAATGTAATGGTATATGTATTATGTGAAGTAGTAGTATTTGGTACAATAGGATAACAATAACAGACTAATTCACTTGCCATGTTGTATCAGTAGCAATAGCAGAATAACAGTAGAAGTAGAAGCAATATTGTGTACAGGTACTATTAGTAAATGATAAAATTAGTAGCTTGTAATAAATTGGCAGTAGTCTAATTAAGTTAATAAATATTGATATCGAGTTGCTTAATTCGGTAAGTTGAAAACTGTCCCGTTTGGTCGAATTAGCCGAATTAGGCGATATAATTAGTTGTCTGGAATTTAATGAAATTTGATGGGGTAACTAAGTTAATTAGTAGGTAAATGTGGTTGTGTTGTTTTGTTGAAATTATGTCGATTACGCTGACTTGTCGGTACAGTTGAGTAAGTTGATTCGTCCAGTTTATTGACATTGTTGTTTTTGGGTCTTACGACCAATGTTGTGTTATTTGTGTTGAAATATTGCGATATCAATGATGTGAATATGAATTGTTCTGTGGGTAGCCTTATGGCATGAATCCTAGTGAATATATAATGAATATGTTGTTGCCATGAATTGTTGTTGATGACGTTGTAGGCCTATGGCCAGTGAAGTAGTGATATAGGTGTATGCCTCGTGAAGTGTTTTATGATGTTGTTGTATGTGTTTGTACATTCATACATTTGTATTTTTGAAGGCCTGTATTGGCGAATTATGTGAAGGCCTGTATTGGCAAAATGATTTGTGATGAAGGCTTATGTCTTGTGCCTCGAGATTACTGGAAAATGTTTATGTTGGGAGTTTTACTCCGATGGTACCACATGCATTCGCATAGTTTCGAGTTGCATATTTGAGTCGTATATGTTGAATAGTGGTGTTGATGATTTTTGAAGTGTTGAGTTATTATTGTATGAAGTGGTGATTCTGTTTATTCTTACCTATTATATTTTTTTTATCATAACCTTGTTTTTATAGTTTGATATCTCACCCTTTATGTTTGAATGTTAACCTTTGTTGGTAACCCGCAGGTAACCAAGATGAGTAGCTGATAGCATTGTTAGTTCGAGTTCAGTGTCATTTGCTCTGATACGTACTCGGGGGGGAATGAACGCTTGTCTTATTTTTTTGTTTATTTATTGAACCTTATGTTGTCATTTGAGGAGTTTATTTGTATTGATGTTGTTTTATAATTCAAAAGATGTTATGTCTTACTTGGATAACTATTATGAATCTGCTGCATGATTAATCAAAGTTTGGTTTATGTTATGAAGACTATATTCATGAGTTGTGTTCATTCCTCTTATTTAAGTGTTATGTATTTATTCTAAAAGTCTGATAGATTTATGTGTTTATGTTGAATATGTGACATCCTGATTATGTTGGAAATTTTTATACTCTGATTTTTCTATGATTGCTTGGGGTAGAATTTGGGGGTTACATTAGTGGTATCAGAGCAGGTTGGTCCGTCCGGCCAAGTTATTGAGTCGTAGTTTGTTTAATAAATCGAGTATTGTTAGTTTTTCTTAACCGTTGTTTATGTTGCAGTGTTAAGATAAGATGGCTGGAAGGAACGATGCTGCGATTGATGCTGCTCTTAAAGCAATGGCTCAGGCTATGTAGAATCAGCCGAATGCTGACGAGAATGCTGGATCTCGCAGTTTGGCAACTTTCCAAAGGGAGAATCCGTCGGTGTTCAAGGGTAAGCATGATCCTGATGGAGCACTAGATTGGTTAAAGGAGATTGAGAGAATCTTTCATGTGATGGATTGCACTCCAGCACAAAAGGTTCGGTATGCCACTCATATGCTTGCAGTTGAAGCTGATGACTGGTGGCTAGAGATGCGTGCAAGGTTGGAAGTTGCAGGTGATGAAATCACTTGGATTGTGTTCTGTAGAGAATTTATGAGGAAGTACTATCCTGAATATGTTCAGGGTAAGAAAGAGATTGAGTTTCTTGAGTTGAAGCAAGGGAACAAATCTGTCACTGAGTATGCTGCTAAGTTCATTGAGCTAGCTAAGTTCTATCCACATTTTGACGGTGAAGGTGCTGAATTTTCTAAGTGCATCAAGTTTGAGAACGGGTTGCCCTCGGAAATCAAGAAGGTTGTTGGATATCAGAAGATTCATGTCTTTTATGATTTGGTTGATAGTTGCAGGATCTTTGAAGAGGATAGTAATGCTCATCACAAGATTGTTAGTGATAAGAGAGGCAAGAATCAACAGAACTGTGGCAAGCCTTATGATGCTGGTAGAGGTAAACCAAGAGTTGTTCAGGGTCAGAGGACTAGTGGGGGAGATGCTCCTGCTAGATTTGTATGCTTCAAATGTGGGAAACCTGGTCACAAGAGTAATGTGTGCACTACTGCTGATGTGAAGAGGTGTTTCCGTTGTGGCAAGATTGGACATACAGCTCCTGAGTGTAAGCATAAGGCGGATGTTTGTTTCAATTGTGGTGAAGAGGCGCATATTAGTACTCAGTGTCAGAAACCAAAGAAGGCACAAACTAGTGGTAAGGTGTTTGCTTTGGCTGGGATTCCGACAGCTAGTGAGGACAGACTCATAAGAGGTACATGTTTTATTAATAGTACGCCTTTAATTACTATTATTGATACTGGTGCTACTCATTATTTTATTGTTGTTGATTGTGTTGAAATATTAGGTCTTGTGGTGTCTTCTATGAATTGAGAAATGTTCGTCGAGATTCCAGCTAAGGGATCGGTGACTACTTCTCGTGTGTTTGAATTGCCCTTTGTCGATCTTCGGCAAAGACTTTGTTGTCGACTTGATTTGTTTGCCATTAAGAGGATTAGATGTGATCTTGGGTATGAACTGGTTAGATTATAACTATGTTCATATCAATTTCTATAACAATTCTATGAGGTTTTCTACTTTTGAAGAGGAAGAAGTTGGTTTGTTGACTAGTAAATAGTTGCGGAAATTAATGCAAGATGAAGCACAGATGTTCTTGTTGATGATGTCATTATCAATTGAGAACCAAGTTAGAATTGATGAGTTGCAGGTGGTGCGAGAATTTACTGAAGTGTTTCCTGATGAAATTCCTGATATACCGCCAGAAAGAGAAGTTGAACTTGCGATTGATCTTGTACCTGGTACTAGACCTGTTTCTATGGCACTGTACAGGACGTCTGCATCTGAATTGTCTTAATTGAAGAAGCAGTGAGAAGAGTTACTTAAGAAAAAGTTTGTAAGACCAAGTATATCGCCGTGGGGAGCGCATGTGTTATTAGTAAAGAAGTAAGATGGAAGTATGAGACTTTGTGTTTATTATAGACAGTTGAATAAAGTGACGATTAAGAACAAGTATCCGCTTTCGAGAATTGATGATTTGATGGATCAATTGGTGGGTCCAAGTGTGTTTTCTAAGATTGATTTGAGGTCAGGATATCACCATATTAGAGTGAAAGAAGATGATATTCAGAAGACTGTGTTCAGAACTCGGTATGGACACTAAAAGTATTTGGTGTTGCCTTTCGGTGTGACCAATGCACCGGGAGTATTCATGGAGTACATGAATTATATCTTTCATACTTATTTGGATCGGTTTGTGGTGGTATTCATTGATGACATTCTGATTTACTCTAAATCGGAAGAAGAACATGAAGAGCATCTAAGAGTTGTATTGCAAGTTTTGAAAGAGAAGAAGTTGTAAGTGAAGTTGTCCAAGTGTGAATTCTGGTTGCAAGAGGTTAGTTTCCTTGGTCATGTCATTTCTGGTGGTGGCATTATCGTGGATCCTTCTAAAGTTGGTGTTGTGTTGCAATGGGAAGCTCCGAAGTCGGTTACTAAAATTAGAAGCTTCTTGGGATTAGCCGGTTACTATAGACGGTTTATCGAAGGTTTTTCTAAGTTGGCACTTCCGTTGACTAAGTTGACTTGTAAGGGTAAAGCTTTTGTGTGGGATATTCAATGTGAAGAAAGTTTTACCGAGTTGAAGAAGAGGTTGACGTCGACTCCGGTTTTGACTTTGCCTAACCCGGAAGAACTTTTTGTTGTGTATTGTGATGCTTGTCTGATGGGGTTAGGTGGCGTACTCATGCTGAATATTAAGGTGGTTGCTTATGCATCGAGGCAGTTGAGAACTCATGAAAAGAATTATCCTACGCATGATTTAGAGTTGGCTGCAGTTGTTTTTATGCTGAAAATTTGGAGGCATTATCTTTATGGTTCTAGATTCGAAGTGTTTAGTGACCATAAGATTCTCAAGTACCTTTTTGATCAGAAAGAGTTGAATATGAGACAGCGAAGGTGGTTAGAATTGTTGAAGGATTGTGATTTTGGTTTGAATTATCATCCAGGAAAAGCTAATATTGTGGTCGATGCTTTAAGCCGAAAGACTTTGCATATATCGGCAATGATGGTTAAAGAGTTGGAGTTGATTGAGCAATTCTGAGATTTGAGTTTGGTTTGCAAAGTGACACTACAAAGTGTTATATTGGGAATGTTGAAGATTAATAATGGTTTTCTCAACAGTATCAGTGAGGCTCAAAAGCTAGATGTGAAGTTGGTAGATATGATGATGGGAATCGATCAATCTGCGAATGATAATTTCAAGATAGATGTGCAAGGTGTGTTGAGATTCCGAGATCGTATTTGCATTCCTGATGATGAAGAAATTAAGAAAGTGGTTCTTGAATAAAATCATAGAAGCAATTTGAGTATTCATCCAGGAGCTACTAAAATCTATCAAGATTTGAAAGGTTTGTTTTGGTGGCCTGGTATGAAGCGTGATATGGCACAGTTTGTGTATGCTTATTTGACTTATCAGAAGTCAAAGATTGAGCATCAGAAGCCCGCATGGTTGATGCAACCGTTATATATTCCATAATGGAAATGGGATAGCATTTCATTGGACTTTGTAACGGGATTACCTAGTACCTTGAGAGGACATAATTCGAAGTTAGCATATATATCTATTAACATCATATATCTGATTTTGAAGTTGGAGGAGATTTATACCAGAGTGATTGTGAAGTTGCATGGTGTTCCTCTATGTATTGTATCAGATAGAGATTCGGGGTTTACTTCTGATTTTTGGAGAAGTCTGCAAGAAGCGTTAGGATCTAAGTTGAGGTTGAGTACGGCGTATCATCCACAGACAACTGGTCAGACTGAGAGGACGATTCAGTCATTGGAGGATTTGTTGAGAGCATGTGTTCTTGAGCGGGGAGGTTCGTGGGATACTTATCTTCCGTTGATTGAGTTCACTTACAATAACAGTTACCATTTTAGTATTGGAATGGCACCTTTTGAGGCGTTGTATGGTCGGAGGTGTATGACTCTATTGTGTTAGCGTGAATCTGGTGAAAGTGTGGTACTTGGACCTGAGGTTGTTTGAGAGACTACTGAGAAAGTGAAGCTTATTCGAGAGAAGATAAAAGCTTCTCAAAGTAGACAGAAAAGTTACCATGACAAGAGAAGGAAAAATTTGGAATTCAAAGCTGGTGATCATGTGTTTTTGAGAGTCACACTTGTGACTGGTGTTGGGCGAGCTCTGAAGTCTAAGAAGCTCACTCCTCGTTTTATTGGTCTGTATCAGATATCAGATAGAGTTGGAAAAGTTGCTTACTGAGTGGCATTACCGCCAAATCTTGCTAATTTGCACGATGTGTTTCATGTATCGTAACTTCGGAAGTATATTCTCGATCTATCTCATGTGATTCAGATGGACGATGTACAAGTACGGGATAATCTCACAGTGGAGATGATGCTTGTGCGAGTCGCGGATCGCGAGATGAAGATTCTAAGAGGAAAAGAGATTGCATTGGTGAAAGTTGTCTGGTTAGGAGATGCTGGAGAAAGCATGACCTGGGAGTTGGAGAGCAAGATGTGAGACTCCTATCCCGAGTTATTTGAACCAGGTAAACTTTTATTTTCGAGGGAGAAAATATTCTAAGTGGGGGAGAGTTGTAACGCCCCGATATTTAATTATTTATTTAATTAAATATTTTTGAATATTTTATATTAATTTAAATTTTTATCGTCGAAGTCGGAATTATTTTATTTAGCGGCATGATAAATAACCAGATTTAGTTTTGTGGAATTAAGTTGAGGTATTATTTTTATTAATAAGCTTAGGATTGATATTGGGCTTAATTTGTGGTGTCGCGGAGTAGCAAAGGAGTGTATTTCTTAGGCTCATTTAAGTTACTAAAGGATTAAATAAATAGGAGTATTTCATTAGAAATAGAATTGGAGGAGAAAGAGAGTATAGAGATATCAGAAAAAGAAAAGAGAAAATAGGGTTTAGAGTGAAGAAGAAGGACAAGGAAGTTGCTGCTAGTTCCAAATTCCCCGAAAATTCGGTTGAAGTTTCTTAGAGCTGCACTCAATCCAAGGTAAGAGTGAGGTTCTTGCTAAATAAATTGGAGTATGATGAATTATATGTGGATTTTAGGGTATTATTTTCACTACAATGTTGTGTAGAAATTAGTTGTATTACTGCTGAAAATTGATAATAGATTTAGTTCTGTTAAAATTATTGATGAATTTGTTAATAGTGTGATTCTCAGAAGTTATATGGAACCGGATTATTACTGGTACTAAAAAAAATTAAGTTGATATTGTAGAACAAAAACAACACAGTATCTAAGCACATGAGAAACAAGATGCACTTATTTTTATTTTGGAAATACAATAGAGATCTAACATTAAAAAGAAATAACTCTCAGATTACAAAATAAATGAAATATGAGGGAGTAAGAGATAGTGCCGCTAGGCACTTTGCTGTGTGAAATGCTTCCATAAGGCAAGATCAAGGAGAGGGATGACATGCTTCATTTGTGGGCCCTCCCTTATCTTGTGCCATATATTTTTCTCTATGCATTAGGTAGGTAGCGCATCATTTATGGTGCAGTATGATATCCCTTAGCAATTCCATTGGATAGCATATATAAGTACCACCTTGTAGTTTAATAGTAGTAGTATTTTGATGAATATAATAGATAGTATCACTTGTATTTTATGTAGTAGCATTACTTTGACTCTTTTCACGTGTAGCAATGTGTGGGCATTAGTTGGTTATTTCTTTTGAAACATGTAAAATAATCTCTATTATATTAAGTAGTAACTAGTGCATGTTAGTACATCTTAGAATGAATTAAAATAATGCAATGGTATATGTATTATGTGAAGTAGTATTATTTGGTAGAGTAGGATAACAATAATAGACTAATTTACTTGCCCTGTTGTATTAGTAGCAGTAGCAGAATAACAGTAGAAGTAGAAGCAATATTTTGTACAGGTACTATTAGTAAATGATAAAATTAGTAGCTTGTAATAAATTGGCAGTAGTCTAATTAAGTTAATAAATATTGATATCGAGTTGGTTAATTCGGTAAGTTGAAAATTGTCCCGTTTGGTCGAATTAGGCGGTATGATTAGTTGTCTGGAATTTAACGAAATTTGACAGGGTGACTAAGTTAATTAGTAGGTAAATGTGGTTATGTCGTTTTGTTGAAATTATGTCGATTACGCTGACTTACCAGTACAGTTGAGTAAGTTGATTCGTCCAGTTTATGGACGTTGTTGTTTATGGGTCTTACGACCAATGTTGTGTTGTTTGCGTTGAAATGTTACGATATCAATGATGTGAATATGAATTGTTCTGTGGGTAGCCTTATGGCGTAAATCCTAGTGAATATATAATGAGTATGTTGTTGCCATGAATTGTTGTTGATTACGTTGATGACGTTGTAGCCCTATGACCAGTGAAGTAGTGATATAGGTGTATGCCTCGTGAAGTGTTTAATGATATTGTTGTATGTGTTTGTACATTCATACATTTACATTTATGAAGGCCTGTATTGGTGGATTTTGTGAAGGCATGTATTGGCAAAATGATTTGTGAAGAAGGCTTATGTCTCGTACCTCGAGATTACTGGCAAATTTTTATGTTGGGAGTTTTACTCCGATGGTACCACATGCATTCGCATAGTTTTGAGTTGCATATTCGAGTCGTATATGTTGAATTATGGTGTTGATGATTTGTGAAGTGTTGAGTTATTGTTGTATGAAGTGGTGATTCTGTTTATTGTTTACCTAATATATTTTTTATCATAACCCTATTTTTATAGTTTGATATCTCATCCTTTCTGTTTGAATGTTGCCCTTTATTGGTAATGTGCAGGTAACCAAGATGAGTATCTGATAGTATTGTTAGTTCGAGTTCGGTGTCATTTGCTCTGATACGTAGCACTCGGGGGGGATGGGGGAGGGATGAATGCTTGTCTTATTTTGTTGTTTATTTATTGAATCTTATGTTGTCATTTGAGTAGTTTATTTGTATTGATGTTGTTTTATGATTCGAAAGATGTTATGTCTTACTTGGAGAACTATTATGAATCTGTTGCATGATTAATCAAAGTTTGTTTTATGTTATGAAGACTATATTCATGAGTTGTGTTCATTCCGCTTCTTTAAGTGTTATGTATCTATTCTAAAAGTATGACAGATTTATGTGTTTATGTTGAATATGTGACATCCTGATTATGTTGGAAATTTTTGTACTCTAATTTTCCGATAATTGCTTGGGGTAGAATTGGGGTGTTACATCTATCATTGGCTCTTTACCTCGAGCTTCGTCAGTTGTCTTGGAATCTGTGACTTGAACAGGTGGAGAGATTTCTGGGGAGAAAATCCTTCTGCTTTTAGTAATTTTGTTGGTCCCCGCAATATTGTCAATATTGGGATCAGCCTCTTCATCATATTCATCAGACAACTCTTGTTTAATTCCATGGTAATAGACGTCAGACCCATAATTCCATGGAATAGCCTTCTCTAAGAAATACGGGATGGGCCCAGGTTTTGCAATGATTAAGGGAGCAGATTTTAGATTGGCAGTAATCCTTACAGGACCCTTGGAAGTGATCTTGAAAGGAGTACCATATATGACAGACAAATCTCGGCATAAATTATCAGTATACGGAACTTTCTCAATCAAAATTACATGTTCATCCATCAGGCATTGAATTCCTTCCTTCAGTAACCCGTAGACATTGGGTTGAACCGCACAGCAATAACATTCTTTAACACAGCCCAGAAATAAACCGGCTCGTAGCAAATTCTCCTTGATTGTTGAGAAAGGAGTAACCACATTATTTACGGAGGTAATATACAAAACATATTCAATATAACTTATGCCTTTGTCATGCTTAGGCATAGGTGCAGTAATCACGTTCAAAGTCTCTGGAGGGTCGAACTCAATTTCCTTATTATCGATCATGTCTTGAATTTTGTTTTTCAGGGCCCAACAGTTGTTCGTGTCATGCCCAGGATTGTTCGAATGATAGGCATGCCTCACATTTGGATTATACTTAGGAGAGGATGTGTTAGGATTAGGAGGAGGATCCCGTAGTGAAATGAGTTCAGCCTTTAACAAATGTTGTAATGCTTGAGCCAATGGCATATTAGTTCTAGTAAACTGCCTCCTCGGAGCGTCTGATCTATGCTGGTTATCCTGTTGTTGTTGTTGAACAGGTGTCAGATTAGAGATCAACACTGCTCCCACAGACTGATGGCGGTCATTTTTACTACGACCCTTCTGACCATAGACAGTGTTGGTTTCTTTCTTACCACTGGACGACTTCTTCACAACATTAGAAGTTGTAGCCATTGAAATCTTCCCATTCTTAATACCACTTTCTACTCTTTCTCCAGTCAGAATCAACTCTATAAAATTGAATGACGAGCTTCCAATCAATAGATTAAATAATGGGCTTGTTAGAGTGCCCATGAACATATCAACTAATTCTCGGTCAGACAAGGGAGGTTTGACCCTTCCAGCTAAGTCTCTCCACTTTTTGGAATACTCCTTGAACCCTTCATTCGAGCCCATGGACATGTTTTGCAATTGTACACGAGTCGGCGCCAGGTCAACATTATATTGATACTACTTGTAAAAAGCAACAGCCAAGTCTTCCCATGTGTGAATGTTGGTTCCCTCCAACTGATAGAACCATTTCAGTTGAGTTCCAGCCAAATTATCTTAAAAGAAATGGACCCATAATTTCCGGTCAGCAGTATGAGGTTAGATTTTTTGAACATACGACCTCAGATGAAGTTTGGGACAAGAGACCCCATCATTTTTAGAAAAGATAGGGACCTTGAATTTGTGAGGGATGACCATCCCCAGGATCTTACCTAACTCTCCAAAATCTAATCCATGCACTTACTGGGTTTCCATAGCTTTGAGACGGTCTTCTAACTGCTTGTACTTGTCATCTGCGGGAGGGTAATGTTCGTCGGAGTAGTCTTCATCTTCAGAAACCTGATTATTTCTATCTTCACCCCTAACACTTCTTCCATCCTCCTCTTGGTTGTCGTCTTCCTCAGAGAAAACATCATTCACTCAAACTGTTTGAGCAGGACCTTTGAATCTTCTCCCCATGTTGAGGATAATAGCCCGCTTCTTAGTCTTCTTTTCCTTGGTGAGGAGCGTCGTCATCTCTTGTTTCCCTTTGGCAAAATTCAGAAGAGTCTCTTGAAATTGAACATGCTGAGTTTGCAGATCCTTGACAGTTTGTTCGAGGGTCATCTTATACTGAAGTAAACAGTAAATAGATGAGGAAACCTGTATTAGAAAACCTGTTTATGAAATGATGCATGATATGTAGATGCAATGTTTTCAAGGACCTTAGGAGATTTGAATTTGCTAATCAAAAGGAAACAAAAACAAAAACTTCATTAGTAAGTCCAAAATTACAATTGCCTCTTATGCTTACAATTAAAAGCAAAAGGGTCTCAAAGAGACAACAATATGAACTTCTAAAACCTAAGACTCAAATCTCCCACGGACGTTTCCTCTTCGTGTCGATGTATGCATTAAGGCTTTGCTCCTCGTGAAGTTGCTTTGTGAGCTCCCACACTTTCTTTTCACTTGCATAGAATTGAGCTTCAAAGGTGTCTCGTTCTTCCTTGAGTTGAATCCATGACTTCTGTAATTCTTCGAGGTCAGTAGGAATGTCTGGATGGAGGATAATGCGAGAAATGTCTCCTTCAACAACAACCTCTAAGATCACCGGTAGAACAGCTGGATATGGCATCATAAGGTTTTTAGCACGAGTTCATACCCATTTGAGATAGGGCTCCAAAGGGATAGAATTATTTTGTCCTAAAGATTTACTATCAACCTTGTGTACCATGCCCCAAGCACGTATAAACCTTTAACGATAACCTTCAGGATCATTTTTGTAGTCAAACACAATACCCTGGATAAGTGCATCATGAGGACCATCTCTTCGAGCATAACCAAATTGTTGTAGAGCTAGAGAAGGGTTGTAAGTAATATCTCTCCTAATTCTAAGGAGTGGAACATTAGGGAATTCCCCGCAACGGTCAATGATAGTAACATCTTCCAGAGATCGGGAACACCAATAGATATTTGAATGAGAAAGCAACATCATCCTTTAAGACCACCTCAAACCTTATTCATTCTTCATTACTGATCGGGGAAGGTGTGAAATAAACCACCTAGATAGCAAAGGTATGTAACACATAAGAGTCCCTCGCTTGCTCTTAGTACAAGTGTGAAGAGAATGCAAAATGTCTCTGAGCAAAGTAGGCATAGGGTTACGAGAAAGAAATATTTTGATGGCGTTCACATTTAGGAGTTGGTATGGATTAGGGAATAGCACCAAACCATAGATCAACAAAGCCAATATTTCCTTGAAAGATTGAAAACTCATAGCATCCAGAAACAGTCGAGCCTTCTCTAATAGAAATTTAGCTAGAAAACACTTGACTCCACTCCTTGTTTCCCAATTAGATACAATGTCGGACCATTTCAGATGTAAGGCTGCTGCAATTTCTTCAGGTTGTGGATCTTTCTCTAAACCAGTGAAAGGTGTACGATCAAGAATATGTACTCCAAGTAGCTTAGAAAACTCTTCTATTGTGGGTACCAACTGATAATCTGGGAAGGTAAAATAGTGATGCTTAGGATCAAAGAACTGGAACAGAACACTCACCATGTCTTCTTCAAAACCCGAGGTAACCAAACTGATTAGATGACCATGCCTCTTGGTAAATTGAGAGCTTTCAGGAACTTTTGAGACTAAATCCTTAAGTTGAGAAGGTATCCTCAGAAAGATGATTCAGATAGTGTTTCTGCGAGCGGAGGCCATAACCTACAAAACAGGACAAAGACAAATCCCTAGGTCCTTGAAATGGTTAGTGAAATTGATATGGTATGATGTCATGATGTTATGATGTCATGTTCGAACAATTAATCATACACAAAAAAACACACAAGGCCTTAGGTTTAAGCTCGCATGGAGTTTGTAGGTAAGTACCCTCTTGAAGTTTTAGTTGGCTCAACTTGTCCTAGAAGAAGTAATCGGGTTCTAAGAATCTCAAATCACGGATCTTTCTCTCAGGCATTGTTTCAGCACAAGCATCTAATTTGAGACCTAAATATACTGAGAGTCTGATCTCAATGAGTGTAGTATCGAGTATCAACCAACTTCAATCTGCACCAAAGTCGGCCATCTCACTACTTTCTAATGGCTATGTTGTGTTAACTAAGGTTCTAAGGTTAGTTAGTGCTTATGACACCACACGGCCGCCCAACATTCTCCTTGACTGACTCAAGAGACACCAACACAAACTAATGTGTCACACTAACATAGCCATCATTTCAACCATATTGGTCTACGCCGTACAGTTTTCACGATCTATTGCTACTTACCTAAAATGCCCCCAGATCCGGGTATAGGATCTACACAAGAAGTAAAACCAAGCATATCCCAAAATATAAAGCATGCAAGGAAAACAAGTAAAGCAATAAAGGTGAGGTAACCCCACTTTTAGTATGTCCCCAGCAGAGTCTCCAGTTCTGTAATATGATGGGAGAAATGACTTTTGGACTTTGCATTTTATCGCAAATGTTGCGGATAGCAAGAGTCGCCACTGACTTTTCTTTTATCTAATAAAGGAAAGGGTAAAAAGAACAGGAAAGACCTTTTGAGAATTTTCTGAGTAAGGGGAGTAGGTTATGAAAAGAGAAGTTGTTAGCACCCTTTTCACTCGTAGTTTTTTACGGGCTCTTAATCGCTAGCTTATTTTTTTGAAATGCTTTGTGCTTGTGTATGTTTGAAAATATTTTGAAAATGCCTAAGTGTGGCAATTTTGTAATGATTCTCGTATCGTTGAGAGTGTATACAAAAAAAAATTAAAATATTTGTCAAA